AGTATAAGGTAATAATTCAGTAAGATATGGGTGATGATGTCCTAGAATATCCTAGAATTCAGGCACATATCCTAGAATGTATGTGTTTGTAACTAGGAAGAAAATTCTAAGGAAATTGCTCAGATCACTGCAGTTTGGCTATTGAAGGAATATGGGCCAGTGGGAAACCAAGGCACCCTTATACCCAGAAAGTTCATTCACCAGCAGCAAATAAACGTGAGAGTGCTGTGAGGTTTTGCAGTTGCTGTTATTTTTGTCTGTTCTTCCCTTATTTGCATCCTATGTTCTATTGCACTCCCTTATTGCATTGTGCTTAAAATTGCTGTAAACTCATTGTGGCAGGAAACATGTCTTCCTGTGTTTGTACAGAATTATGCACAATGTCTGCCTTTTTGTCCTTTATTTAATGAACTGTAAGAAGAATGCATGTGAGCCTGTTGGAATCTAAATAATTACATTTTCTAAATAAACACAACATGAGAAGTCTAGTTATTGATACACACTGCTGCTTTGGTTGTTTCAAACGTGGCAGTTACAACTAGAGGTTTCACAATCTACTTAAAGGAGTTTTACTTCTGTTTTATCTGTTGTAGTCTTGATGCACCGTCATGATAAAAAAATCCTTCTTTGTCAAGGAGTTATCTGTAAAATTGGAGTTTTCTTACTGTTAGGTTTGTTTATTTTTTTCCTCTAGTTAAACCCTGTTGGTCAAGTTGTTACAGACATATCAAAATGAAATGTGTTTCATTGTAATAGGTGCTACATTGTTTGCAGTATTCAATTAAATTCCGGTTCAGATTAGTTACATTCACTTCAGCTGATAAAAGACTTTCATACTTAATTTCTGAAGTAGAGAAGCTGTTCAGCCATGTATGCACTGCCATCCTTAAAGGTGTACATTAATACTGGAATTATAGAGAGATCTGATGTGAAGAACCAGTTGTTCAGGTGGTTATAGCTGTAGGAACAATAAATGATTGTGCATATAAACAAGCTGCACAAATGTTCACGTAGATACCTGGAATTTTTAACTAGTTACGGTGTTACTGCTCTAACAGTCAGATGAGTGAGAGGACTCAAGTATTACCTTGCTGAAGTCTCAACTCTGGGTACCTGAATCAAGAATGCTATCTTAAAAATGCCATAACAATCTGTAATCTATAGATACCTTTTATGTATTTATTTACTGAGCTGCTTGCAATTTTGCTTCTGTTTATGTTCAGAAGTGCCTTGGTCTTTATAATGCTGAAAAACCTTGAGATGAAACCTGAATTTTCTGCTAGGCAATTCTGGTAAACTTGATATCAAAAAAATATATCTGACCTGTGCGATGAGAAAGTTGCAGACACCCCACAAAGTGGTATTGTATGAGCTGTCTCTGGAACTGGAAGGATGACTGACTTCCTCGATGATGGTGTGAACTTGTCTCCTAGCCTGCAGTCACTGCTATTTCAGCATTACCCTTCTGTTGTGAGCTGAGGACCTGAGGTATTAGTAATTCTTCAGTGTTAGGGTCTTGAAGCTAGATCTTGCACAGCAAGGGCACACCATCAAAATCTGTTAGTGAGCAGTGTTTACAAGTGTCTCTGTAGCATAAGGCCATAGTTAAACAGCAATGATTTGATCTTTGAGTGAAAGGTTTTGATCTTTATTGTGAGTGGTGCGAATTTCCCTGCTGCGAGGAAGAGATGTTATAAGACAGAGTGTGCACTTGGATTATTCTTATGCATCTCAGCACAGATGATTTAGAGGTTCTGCCTAAATTCCTCTGCACTTTTCATTGATTGATTTTTTTACAGTTAAAGTAGGTCATTGTCTTGTTGCAGTTTTGTGCTTTCAGAGCTTATCTGGGTGTGGTCTAGTATGAATTTCTCAGCTGGTATCTGACAATCTGGTTTGTGGAATTAGTTTTGCAAGAATGATGTTGTAGCAATCACACACCCCTAGTGCTACATAGCTGTGTGCTGCTCAGCCACAGAGAACGTTGCTTGACCTTTTCCGGCAGGAAAGCTGAAGCACGGAGGGCCCTGAATAAATGGCAAAATCTCAGTGACACTGTAGTAGCCACTGAATCTTACCACATATAGGCTCTGTACATTTATTAGCCAAAAGATTCTCACTACTTTCATTCTGTAGGGCAGAATCTACATTTTCTGTCTCAAGGAAGACTGACTAATAATGTTCAGGGCTCAGTGAAATGAGAGTCATGCTGCAAATCCTGTCTGTAAGGAAGACCTCTGTGGCTGTGGGAAATCCATACAATGACTTGAAAAGTAATATTATTTGTCTAAATCTGTTTCTGCACCAGATTGCTTTGTTTTGCCGTAGCAGTTGGTTGGTTTTTGTTCTTTTTTTTTTTTTGCAACTAGTTGTGTTTTTTACTGGTGAATAAACAAATCACCTTGCCTTAAAGAAGTTTTTCAATGTTTCTCTGAAGTTTAAAGGAAAAATTAAAAAATGGAAACATTGAAACATCTTTCCCATACCATATTCTAATACAATGACCTCACTGAATTTAGTATGTATCCTTTTAAGAAGTGAAATCTTGTAAAGAGGTAAATGTTGAAATTCTAACTCTAAGAAGTAATTTGTGGAGGAGAAGAAGGTAAGGTTCTCATGTACCTGAAAAAGTAATTGCAGTGTTTCCTCACTGTGATGTTGTATTGCTGCACCCACCCTTCTCTTTGTAAAAGATGAGTCGCTTCAAGTTGGACATTGTTCTAGCCAGCAATTATATCTGAAAGAGGCAAAAGTGGTAATTCATCTGAGCCACACAGGTCAACCATAAGGCAGATTAACCTAATGGCTTTGTTGCTGCTGTGTTGAAAAGTAAGCTGTTGGTCTTTCTGGAAGAATTTTATCTGAAGTGTTTTAGAAGGATATTCGGAATAGAAGCTCTGAAATCAATATTAAGACACTTACAAACCACAACTATTATAATTTGATTTGATACTTCTTTTAAACTGCCTCAGAAATGGAAAAGGATTTTGCAAGTGAGGAGAGTAATATGACAAACAAATTGGCCTCCTCCTATAACTTTTACGAGAAATGGCCAATTTACCTGTAAATGATGTAGGTCAAGCATTCTCTTTATGTTATTGGGACACGCAGACTTTTCCTGTGCATTTACTGTTAATGTAAGAACAGACAGTTCAGGGAAAATGGAGAGCACGTCGGTTTAGGCGATACTCCTAAGCGCTCGATTTTCCTGTATCATTAATAAATTGCGTGTAGTCTTTATTGAAATCTGTAGGATGATGAATTCAATTGCATTCTAGCATGTGGTTTCTTTTTGTAAAATGAAATTCATAATGGTCATGTAGTAAGTAACTGGTGAAATATTTTGGGCAAAATAGAGCAGACTTGCTTGTGTTGGACTTAATTGTAATGCACCAGTGATTCTCTCTTTTTGGTTTGAGGTTTTTGTTGTTTTGTTCATTTTTTTTTCCCTTTGTGCTTCAGAAGATGATATTCTCAGTATATATTGCAGTTCAGTTTTACTTTTCACAAACAGCATTGTGGGATGAATTTGGGTGGGTTTATCATTCTTGGTCAATATTGATTGTACTCTGTCGCGCACAAATGAGTCTGAGCAGTTTCTAATATAGGAAATTTAACTTACATGGTCCTTGTGGCTTAGTGTATTTTTCAGTTGCGTAGTTGAAAATTGACACTTCTGTCCCTTGTTTACCTTAATCACATAATAATCTGTACTCAGTCCTTTTCTATTCAATATAGGTGTACAGGCTATCTATGTTAGTATTCCCTGATTTTGTTTGTCTTCAGTTCTGTTTGAAATGTTCTTTGCCCTGCATGGTTTGGTTTTCTTCAACCATATATTCAACTTTTTTTAACATTAAAAATATTTTACTAAAATAGTTGGAGTCGCTTATAATGATGCTGGTAATTACAGCTTCATGATTAGTTCTGGTACTGCATGAAGTACGAGGGCGAAGTAGGAGATTTGATATATTTGTATCCAATAATATTTTGGAAGGGGAATGACTTAAAAAGTAATTAGGAATAAAGTGCAGAATCAGGTTTTTTTTTAAAATGTAGGTATCAGTTCAAAAAATCTCTGCAAGTCAACATTTTTTGTATTCCTTATTTGTTTACTTTTCCAGGGATATTAGAATGTTTTTTGCGGCACCACAGTGAGACATCAACATTCCTGTTAGCAAAGATCATGTACATTTGGTATAAGCTAAGGTAGACTAAGCTAGAACTGCTCTGACTGAAATGATATTTTATTATTCTGAAGATGTTAGTTCCTTTCTCCCTGACAATTTAATTCTGAAAGTGTTGAGTGCTGTTTTCTGCTTGGTTTCTATTCAGGTTACATGGGGTAACTCCCTTCCTTTCGCTCCCATTGTGGTTAACAGTACATACTGCTTTGGTACAGTTAGAAAGTTTCTGCGCAAATTTGCTGCTGTTCTGTCATGTGGAAATGCAGCTGGCCATATCACTTAGTAAAATCTTCTTTTAAAATATTTTGCAGCACAAAAATTGCTCTTCCACTGAAATGTTTTGCAATTAAAAATACATGTGTCTTCCTTCATCTATCTCTGCTTTTTTGTATGCATATCTTCTGTAAATGGAAGTGGCTTCTTCAGGTCAAAGTAATGTGCTGAAATTCCTATTTACCATAGCAAACGAGAGCACAGATATTTTTTTGTGAAAAATATTGTGGTGTTTTTTTAAAATCAGTTTAATACTAGTCTGTAAAATCTGAATCATTGAAAAGATCTGAATTCTGTAACAACTGGGTTCTTTCCGATGTCCTCTGTCTTCCTGTAGTTTAGAATAAATGGTGTGTATTTGAGCATTGCCCACTCATTTATTAATGGGGTCTATTCTTATTACTATTATATTGCTACCCTTAAAAAAAGAAAGAGGATATTTATGTACAGTTTGAGTATACAAAATGTGTTTAAGTGTATTTTGTTTCATTACTATGTGTTGTGTTTTACATTACTCGTATTTTTCTTCTAGGCAAACGGAGTGGGCGTAGTAAAAAATGGAAAGAGATGCTGAAGTTGCCACCGGTTAGTCATTGTGAAGGTATCAGATGCTCGATCGGTAGGTGTCCTGAAGAATGGTCAGAAAAAAAAAGATTTTTTTTTTTAACAAGGAAGTGTAAGAGTTGGTGCTGTTTTCTGAAAGGATTCTGTCTTGCTTCTGAATACTAATTAGTAAAGAAAGTTATTAAACTTTTAATGTGTTGGAGAATTTATGAGAAGATATAAATGTATGAGAAGATAAAAGCTGTATCACAGCTCCTTGTTTGCTAAAGGAAACGGCTCCTAAAGGATAAATTTATAATACCATGAATTAGAATTGTAATTTGAATGATGTCATAAAATATTTAACCTTTTTCTTAATATCTTGTGATAATTTTTTAACCTTTTCTGTTACTCTCTTGTATTCCTTCTATTCAAACAATCTTGCTTACTTTGGGATAGTTATTTCATGGTATTGTTGCTTTCAGCCCCCCAACCAAAATGAAACTTAGCCATATCATTCGTGGTGTTTTTAATAAATATGACGGTCTCTAAAAGACAAATTTGGCCGGAAGTGAGTGTTTCACTGTTCTTTGGGATCACTGCATGTCTTTGCTAAAACTATTAATTTAAAATCTTAATGTTTTCTTGGTATTTTTCTGACCTGTTCTCGAATGGGAGTAAGGACCATGCTATGACAAAGATAAAAACAAATCAAGATATTTACTTATCATTTCTTTCTCAGAAAGAGACTATAGCCAGCTTTGTGACAAGCAGCCAATAGGAAGACTTCTCTTCAGACAGTTCTGTGATTCCAGACCAGATTTAAAAAGATGCATTGAATTTCTGGATGCAGTGGTAAGCAGTGAGAAATTGGAGGTGGATCTTAATAGGCAACAGCTATGCGGTTTTGTTTGTAAAAACTTGGATTTTGTGGCCATTTTGGCTGGGATAGAGTTAATTTTCTCCATTGTAGCTCATGCTGTGCTATGTTTTGGATTTTTGATCACAACAATGTTGACAACAAGGATGTTTTAGTTATTGCTGAACAGCGATTACACAGCGTCAAGGCCTTCTCGGCTTCTCACGCTGCCCTGCCTGCGAGGGGGCTGGGGGTGCACGAAGCAGCCGGGACAGCTGACCCCAGCTGACCAAAGGGATATCCCAGGCCGTAGGACACCATGCTCAGCAAGAAAAAGCTGGAGGAAGGGGGGAAGTTGGAGTTACGGTACTTATCTTACCAAATAGCCATTACTCATGAGGATGGAGCCCTGCTTTCCTGGAAATGGCTAAACCTCTGCCTGCCGATGGGAAGAAGTGAATTAATTTCTTGTTTTGCTTTGCTTGTGCCTGCAGCTTTGCTTTATCTATTAAACTGCCTTTATCTCAAACCATAGGTTTTCTGACTTCTAGTTTTCTGATTATTACTAGGGGGGAGTGAGGAAGCAGCTGTGTGGGGCTTAGGTGCCTACCAGGGTTAATACACAACAATTTTATAAAATACTAATTTTCTCTAAACACATCTGTTCACTAATGCTGCATCCATGAAAATACAGTACGATTTACTCTTTGCCAACTGTAAAGCTGTAACTTTTGATGAATGTTAAAAAACTCTGGCTCTGTTACTTAAAGGAAGATGTTTAATATAAAATCTCTGCCATCATAGTACAATCAGAACTACAAAATGGGCATAATGGGAATGAAAAAGGTAGCTTGACATTTGAGCCTAAAAGGATGTGCGTACGGTGAATATTATGTATGATACTCGGACTTGAAAGCATTGTAAACAGAGACTTGAAAATGTTGCAACTTGCATGGAAGCCCTAGGCTAGACAGAATGTACTAATTAAAAAAAAATACAATGGAGATGGAAATTTAGGGAACCATCTATGGAAGGAGGGAAACCAGATTTTAGAGACCAAGGGAAAAGAAATCATTTTATCTTAAATATTTGCATCTCGGTATCTAACACTAAGAAGTAAGGGAAGGAAGGAAGTTTGCCCGCAGCCATGATTTCTATATAATCCTCAGACAAAAACCAGGGGGAAGGTAAGAAAAGAGTAGGCAGGCACATGGCAGTCCTTAAGAGGAGACAATAACAGCTCAAAGCTTTTTATTCTTTGTCCTGCATAGTTAATCCAAGCACAGTAAGCTACAGTCTTCTTACGCTGAGTTAGCTACCAAAACAACAATTTTCTCGTCCCACCCAGTTTTGTTCTTACATTCAGGGAACAAATGAGCAAAGAAGATAGAAGTAGGGTAGTGCTGCCACTTACCTGCACCCCAAAATACAGTATCGGAATGCAAGAGGGCTCTGAAAGGTGCAGGGTGTAAGGAAGCTTGGGATTTTTGCTGCACTCCCCACCTCACCATATCTTCCGGACCTCTCCAGGAGTATAAACTGAGCGCTTCATCAGCTGAAGAGGGACTTCAGTGTCAAATGGTAGAATTGCTTTATGTTTGTCAATAAGTCTTTGCAATTAGGCTTGTTTCCCATGTGCATCTCAGCGGACTTTTGTGACTCGTAGGAGATTTTCTAGCACCAAATTCCAGAGACCAATTTGACAGGTGGAGACATGGAATGGATTGAATGGAAATCCAGAACAAAGGACCTAAATGTCTTGAAGTGAATGTAAACCAGAGCCTTAACCAATGTTGATCAATGGGGACACCACTGACAACTGTGGACGTACCCTTAACAGTTACAACTTTTGTACATGTTTTTAATTCTTAAAAGCTTAGATAAGGAGTAGCAGAATCTTTGGCAGCACAAAGGAGAAAAAAAGGCATGACCGTAAGGCAGGCATGTCTTTGCCCTACAGATGACACTGTCTCTTGGAAGGAACTGCATTTTCCACTAACTGAAAAATGTGAACTGTTTTGAAATACACAACCTACACTGTTATGTGGATCGCAACCCTTCTGTGAATTAGCAGGGACTGTCATAGTTGAGATAATCAGATGTAAGGGATGATTTCACAATTTATTATTAACTCACATTTGAAAAATCATGATGAAGAAGTGTATGCTTGTGAATCACTGAAAGGTCTCTTAAGCGCTCAGCTAATCTCAATTTTATGTTTTATAATCTGAAAGCTACCCTGCTGTCTTGATCAAGGAAGTGAGATAAAATACCTACTGTCTCTTACAGGTGGCACCTGAATTAGCCTGATTCCCTTCTCTGCACTGGACTTCAGCAAGCTTGTTGAAGCTTTTTTTTGGGGTGGGATTGAGGGATTTTTTTGTTGAATTTGTTTGTAAGGCAGTAATGTGAAAGGAGAAGCTAAGGTTGTGGGGTTTTTACTTTGGGTTTTGTCAATTTTTTATTTTATTATTTTAAAAATAAATTTTAGACTTAAATATTTCTGAAAATAAGCTTTCTGGTATAAATGCCATAGTCTGAAGAGCCTTGCATCAAAATTAAAAGTTTTCTGATTTTCTTACATGAAGCAATGCAATTTCAGCATGGTTATGATTATGTTTATTTTAGGAGGCCAAAATGGCAAAGTCAAGGTAGTGCAATGCTATGTCTACCTAAGACTGGTAAGCTTTAACTCTTGAGAAGGCATAACCTTAAAGTCTGTAGTCAGCTTGGCTTCACAGAAAGAGGAGTTGTGAAATGACTGAATAAAAGTGATAGAAATTAAAGTGAAGAATTATAGTTATCCAGTCATCTAGTGACTCATTTCACCAGCTGGGGACAAGTTTACTCAAGTAGAGAAAGAATGAGTTGCAGCTCAAACTTCTCTCTTTTAAGTTCTGGAGTAACAGAAATTACTTGACAAGGCTGTCTTAAACTTCCTTTTAAATTACAGTATCTACTTTAAACAGTGTGCCTGTTTGTATTAAATTAGAGACTACTTTGGCATAACTGAAAATATTAAAGGTGCTAAGTGCACTGCTGTGATTGATTTTTCTGACCTGCTCAAGTCGATTGGTAGTTGCAGAGGAATTCCTTACCATTAAATGGATTGTTGTGGAATTAAAGTAGCAAAACCAATGGCTTGCAACTGTTTATGGATTTGAGTACTGTGCTGAAGTGGTTAATGCTACTGTCTCAGCAGAAAGAGATGTTGATGACTTAGCAGTGAGTCAGCTGGGTTGGTTACAATTGATGGTAGAACAGGAATTCAGGGATTCTGTTATTTTCAGTATTGTGTGTGTGTTTGGTTCTTGAACTGTCATTTTTCAGTGTTCTGGTTTTCTTTATAAAGGTGTGTAACTTCTGATTAGATCAATCACTTCAAACTTCCTATGAGATTCTTAGTGCTTGTTATGCCAATATGCCAAACTGTTGTTTTGTACGATGCAGTCCCTCCGTTGTGGAGGTCTGCCATGGAGCCTTTGTTCCCAGGTGCAGGCATTTACACTCTGAGATATGAAATAAGCTTTGAGTTGGCCCAGCTTACAAAGTTAATACAAGTTGCTGTTTGAGATTGTTCTTTGCAAATTCATCTTTCCACTTTTAAATGTTGTAACTTTGATGTCTGGTTCTAGATTAATCCATAAAATTATTAATAGTAACTAGTTCTTGGAGATTTTCAATACCAGTATCTCTTTGATGGTTTGTTGGTTTGGTTGTCTTTCATAAGAAGCTGCCTCTGGAGTTCTGTTAAGCTGCCAACTGTTTATCTGCAAAATGCATTGTATTACTAAGTCAAATAAATCATGACATTTTGTATCTACTCAGTTTTATTTTCTCAAAGAATGAAACAGGGTTTGGTTTAGATCTTGCTTATTTCCAGTTAACATGCCCTTGTAGAAAGTAGTAGTGTAAGGAAAAAAATTATTACAGTGGAGAAAAAGCTGATTAGTGTACTTTGATTTAATTATTTCCCATCTAGATCATTCCATCCTACAACACTAAAGATACACTATTTCACTGTAATTGATCTAATTTCACTTCTAGCATGCAGTTTCTGTATGCTTTCCAAAAGTTAAATTGCACGTGCTTTCTTTCTTAAGACTGTTCTTCATGCATGTTTCACTATGTAGCCTAAAAATCTTTAAATAGATTTTAAACAATGAGACCCTTCAGTTCTGTTTATATTGGGTGCATTACGTTATTCATGTTGAAAGTTACCTAGCATCACGTAAAAGCCTGCAGTGCCAAGTAGCTCAGAACATAATTTAATTTTCAATTTCATTCCCGTAGGCAGAATACGAGGTATCTTCAGATGAAAAGCGCATAGACTGTGGCCTGAAAGTTTTAGAGACGTACTTCACTAATGGGGTAAATATGTTATATTGCAAAATGTTGTCTCGAGTGTTTTGTAAATGTCAGATAAATAGAGATCTAAGTGGTGGCATTGTTTTTAGTAAATTGACTTTCAAACTTTGTTAGTCCCATTTTTGTGTTTCTGAAACTCTTACCAACTCGAACAGAAACCTTGAGTGATCTCTGCTTTTAAGATGACTACCGTTTTGCTTTATTCTCCTACGTTTTCTAATTAAAATACTGGTCTTAACTAAAGAGATATTTTTAAACAAACTCAGTTAGCATCTAAAGAAAACTTATTAACAAAGTAACTCAGAGTTTTGTAGTCTGAGGACGTGAGAATGACGAATCCTTGAAATTCTTGGACTTCTTCTCTGACTCCTGAGTGGCCTTGGTCACTTTGCTGTAAATGTTCAGAACTGCTGCAGGTTTTCACAAAGTGAAATGTTGTTCTGTTTTCTTTTGTTCTAGAGCATTCTGTTTCTTGGTATTTTGCATGGAGATCATTAATAGCTGAAATTTTGCATGTGTTAGATCTCACTGATTGATTTTTTCGTGTCTGTTCTTTGGGCTGCTTGGAAATAGTTTCCCAACTTGTATGTGTGTTTCTTTCCCCCTCCTTCCATGCCAAATAGATGACTTGCTTTGTGGTGGTAGACATATGGAAAGAAAAAGAAATCCAACTTATTGCAAAGTTTGTTACCCCAGATACTGAAATAGTAAATAACTGTAACAGCTTTCAACGCATTTTTCTGTAATAGAGAACAAATAAAAAATTTGCCTGAATATGAATTTCTTGGTTTTCTCTTTAGCCAAACCATTCCTTTCCTTTTCTTGTATTAGAAGATTTCATTTCACTTTGAATACAGAATTTTTAATCCTTCCATTGATTTATGAAATTGCTTTCATTGTCTTTTTTTTTAAATTATGTAAAGTCTGTAGCACACTTGCCAGAAATACCTCAGGAAACAGTAAACGAATGTAAAGCAAAACTGGAAAAGAACCCTTCTAAGGATCTCTTTATGGACTGTACTAGGTAAGTTAAAAATGCACAGTGCTCAGTTTGAGTATCACAAGAGAAATTTTGTTTCTGAGAGAAATCAAAGGTGTACTTATTACACGCAGGAGTAGTTGATCTCTGAAATTATTGTAGATAAGAAATCTGGAACTGATTTATTAAAGGACTAAGTTTCCTTCAGATATAATTTAGACGTTTGACTTTTGCAGATCTTTTTCTTTAGTGCTATTTTTGCATAAAATCACACTATTATCTATTACCACATATACTGTTAGAATAGTATTTCTCTTTATTATATTCTTACCTTTTGAGTGACTTCTGTTTCATGATGAAGATAACTCAGAAAAATACATGGGTATAAACTGGAGCTTGAGAGGTTTCTGAACAACGTTAGACAGTTTATGGTTCTTGAAAACAGGTTGCACTGAGGCCAGCAGTTGTGTTCCATTAAGATAGCGGAGTAGAGGATCGATTGTGATAGCTAACACAAACAGATACAACTTGGTTTTGTTCTGAAGTCATGAAGTGATATTTCACACAGCAGCAGCAAGGAAGGCTTGTCTTGGAGGGACAGTACATGTTTACCAGCATTGCATGTCTTTCTGAAGCCTTTGTGTTTCTAATATTACTGGTTCTTCAAGGCCTGCCTGAGCATGTCTGAAGGATTACAATACATTTTGTCACTGCTTGGGTCATCTCCCTAGCAACACAAAGAAGCATACTTTATAACAACCTGCGATTATCAGATTGAAAGGGATGTGTGAGGACACCTAATAAAACATGTCTCAAATGTAGGGTCTGTCATGTAGGTCATTCCCTTTCCTTTGTCCAATAAATATCTGAATACGGTTTGAGTGACTTTTTCCCCCTCCCCTCTGCCTCAGTCTGTTCAGTTCAAGGGGAACGATAAGGTACCTGGTGCTCATGTTTGGGTATGACATTTAGTATTTCCATTTCAAATCCTAGAATAAAATTTTACATAGCTGTCTGCAAAGAACTTATGAAAGCTTGTAGATAGTCTCCTGTAAGTGTCTTTCAGAGGTCATATTTGTGGGATCATGCACGCATTGCATAGCTACTGAGAGGCGGATGTTTAGGTGGGCTTGAAGACACTTAATGAGAATGCAGAGGTCGAACTCAAAGTAACAGTAGTTTGGCATTCACTAGTGTTTTGACAGGAACAGTTTTCTGTGACAGGCACTCACTTTGAGACACCTAGGTTAAAACTGTTGTAGAGCACAGTGACAATGTTTTCCTTTCTACACTTCACTGATATTTTAATAGATTGATAGCACCTCCTGTTTCATCAGTTTTTCAGTGTAGGGTTGATTTCATATTCCTGTTGCTAGGATTGTCCATGAATACCTAAGCAGAAGACCTTTTGAAGCTTACCAAGAAAGTGTGTATTTTTCCCGGTTTTTACAGTGGAAATGGCTGGAAAAGTAAGTTTATTTATAATGTTTGCTTTATAATTTTGCTTTGCTTTATGGCCAGTTCTGCTTGTTATGCTGGAGATGCTGTAGAGTCCTAATGCATGACACTGCCTGTCTAAGAAATTATGACCTGAAAAACAAGATGTAAAGGATGATGTTGATGCGAAAGTGAGAGTCAATGCTCCAATAGAAGCATCTGTCCAGTAGTCTTAAGTGGTAAATTTGTATTTGGTAAATGCAAATTTATTATCGTGTGTGTTTGGCTGTCAAGCATGCAGGTGGATACCATTTTAGGGGGGGGAATGCTACCATCCTTTAGTTTCTCTAATTCATGGTAAATAAGGAGATTCGTTTTATAAGGGTGATTGGGTAATTACTTTTTGAGAGTGGTATGGACACAAATCTAGTAATTACAAGATAGCAAGATTTGTATATAACAGAATCTGGGTTGGGCTTTTAAAACAATACTAAATGATGTCTGAACTGTTTAAGAAGGCTGAAATTGGTAAAAATAGACTCTAATTCAGCGCTGCTGAGTATCATGATCACATATCCAAATACTAAGGTACTTGAGCATTGATTTTTATGGGAAATTCCAATTATCCAGTGTCTTCATGTGACTGAAAAAAGTCAAAAAGAGAACTAGGGAAGTTACTCAAACAATTAAACCAAATTCTCAGTACAACAAATGGACCCTCCATTTGCTGTACTGAGAACAAAGCTGTGTTAACAATGAATGCTCTTCTAAAATCATAGAATCATAGAATGGCCTAAGCTGGAAGGGACCTTAGAAATCATTTTAATCCAGCCTCCCTGCCACCAGAGATGACTAGATCAGGCAACACATGGGGACCGAATGGGGATCGAACCCGCGACCTTAGCAAATTGAAACAAAAACCCCAACCCACCACCATGAAACAGCCCTGCGCTGATACGTGTTTAGGAGTGTTTTAGCCTAGAAGGGCTGACACCTTTACTGCCTCCAGTTACGTGTTGCTCTTTCACTACAGCTATACCTTAACAATTTGGCTCTCGAGCTGCTGTTGCACGCTATGACTCTTTCTTTACGAGAAAGCAGAACAGCAAAGGAAAAGCACAGATTACCTGTTAAATGCTGCGTTGTAAGCATGATCTCATTGAATCGCAGCCTACGTGTCAGCGTGCTGCAACTCAGGGAGATGGCTGGAGGTGACAACTTGACTGCTGATGAGAACAGATAAGGCTCTAACCAAGAGCACAGGGTCTAATTGATCCATTTTTCTTCCTGCTGTTGTGAATGCCTGATGACCACATGAGGGAGCCAATGTTTCTGGTCAGAGCACCCCTTTGATTTGCAATTCAGCTTCTCATCGTGCTGTGTTCATGAGGTCAAGGCAACTGGTGTTGAGTAAAATGTTGTAGAACAGGAAGGAGAACATGAAGATGGACCTCGGGGTGGGGAGTGCTGACTCTTGTAATTCCTGTTGCAGTAATTGTTTCTTTCTGTTAATCAGGCAACCAGTAACCAAACACACATTTAGACATTACCGAGTACTTGGCAAAGGTGGATTTGGAGAGGTGAGTACAGAAGTATCTTTCTGTGGGGCAAGAAGAAAAGGTTAATATAGAGAAGCAGCTGTTTTCTTCTAATGCATTTGTTCCAGTATTGTAGAGCATGCACAAAGTTGGAGAAAACTTCTGCTGACAACAGTTGCTTCTGTTTAGAAATTTCATTTGGCAATAAGAATGTAGTTTCTAATAAATAATTATGTACAATATTAATGAACCGAATCAAAAAATATACAGATTTATTAATTCTGTTTATAATTAATTGGACTTTTTTTCCCCTTACGTATTTTAACCAAAGCCCTATGTTGAAGGGGAAGGAGGGTACTAAATTACCATTATCGTTCTCCTGCTTGATTATGGTGTGGATATTTGTCCTTTGTCCTGCTTGCCTAACTGTATACTGTTACCACCATTAGGTGTTTCACCAACACAAGATCCACAGTTTTGCTGAACTATTCAATCTCAACAAAAATTGTTTTGTTTCTGTATAAACACCTTTTCTACTTCTTTTGTGACCCTTCAAAGGTGTTTTGTGGATGAAAGTTCTGTATTGATGTTTATGGACCTTCATTTTCTGAGAGCATTCAAGAGTTTGAAAAAAGAAAATGAAACTTTAACTTCTTTAAAAAAACCCTAGCATCTCTGACATACCTTCCTTTTTTTTTTTTAGGTGTGTGCCTGTCAAGTACGGGCAACAGGAAAAATGTATGCTTGTAAAAAGCTAGAAAAAAAGAGAATAAAGAAGAGAAAAGGAGAATCAATGGCTCTAAATGAAAAAAGAATTCTAGAAAAAGTGAATAGTAGGTTTGTAGTAAGTATCTACTTGTGATCTTATTGTCAGAAGTTTGTCTTGCTTTGTTTGCTTCATTTCAGTCTCTCTTCCAGGAACCTGTGGACACAAGACAGTTTTTAATTTATTTAGAGAATGCATGGCTGCTGAGAGAAATGGTTGATATAATGTTCTGTGCGTGATTATGACTATTCTGTGGGGGCGACTTTTTTATCCAATATTGGTTTTGGTCTGCCTGCTTTATTTCTCCCAACCAAAATGTTAGGTTGTATTTCAGCAAGCTGATGCCAGTGAATCTCTGTTTAAAGGTAAACAGGTTGCTCTGTAGTACTCGAGCTTGCATAATCACTTAAATTCTGTTTCTGCTGCAGCCTGTGACTGAGTATGTTTGCCTATGTTTAATAAAGAGGATATTCCATATACTTTATTTCATAGAATCATAGAATCACAGAATCATAGAATGGCCTAGGCTGGAAGTGACCTTAGGGATCATCTAGTCCAACCTCCCTGTCATGGGCAGGGACGCCTCTCAACTAGATCAGGCTACTCAAGGCTCCGTCCAACTTGGCCTTGAACACCTCCAGGGAGGGGGCAGCCACAACGTCTCTGGGCAATTTATTCCAGAGTCTTGCCACCCTTGTACTGAAGAATTTCTTCCTAAGATCTAATCTAAATCTATTCTCCTTCAACTTAAACCCATTTCCCCTTGTCCTATCACTGGACACTCTTGTAAAAAGTCCCTCCCCAGCCTTCCTGTAGGTTCCCTTCAGGTATTGGAAGGGAGCCATTAGGTCCTGAAGTCTTCTCTTTTCAAGACTGAACAATCCCAGCTCCCGCAGCCTGTCCTTGTAGCACAGGTGCTCCAGCCCCTGGATCACCTTTGTGGCCTCCTCTGAACATGCTGCAACAGATCCATGTCCCTCTTTTTCCATCTTGCTTCTCTGTCTCTTCTTCCAGTGTATTGCTCTCTGTTCTCTTCTCTTACCTCCTTCTGCCTGCCCGTACACTTATTTTCTTATAATTAGTGCTGCTTTCGAATTTCATTTTTGGAGGTCATTCATAAATGCACTTACAAAGGGGTGACTTTGTAAGAGTCTGCCATTTAATTGCCATTGGAAGTTGCATATCCTGCTTTTCTGTGACTTTTAATAGAGGAGGTTTTGTATCCTTAAGTATTTCCATAGAATTTATTATTCTACTGCTTATACTTTTGCCCTTATATTTCAAGATAAACATGACATTTGACTAGTATATTGATTCAGGTTAGCTATATTACCTTGCTGTGTACTAAGGCTTAAAAAGGTATCTTGGATGTGAAACAATTAACATAACTTTTAATAGAAATTCCACAGAATGAAAATCTAAGTCTTAAAAATTTAAGTTGATGCTATTATGTAAATTATCGTCCATTAGTAGTTCTAATTACTAAGCAGTGAAATAACTTACAGTTATCAAAGATATGCCAACTTAAACTTTACCCTAGGTAATGTTTATTTTTCACTGAATTTTTGTCATTTAAATGTTAATTTTAAATGCATTTTGCTTTGGTTTTAAATCCATTTACTGATAAATTTTATACTGATGTTCAGAGGGGATGTTTAAGTACCTGTGGTAGAGGATGGTGGAGGGGTGGCTGACACGCTGGAGGGTAGGGATG